GGGGGGCTCTGCCCCTGCCACTCTGAGTTTGTACGTAAGTGCTGGAGTCAGTTGTAATGGTGCGGTGCTCATTACTATATTACTATATTCTTTACTTTTCCTTGGTTCTCATATATGTCTATATGTAAACCTGAATATGCATCTCAGCAAGTTTCCTTGCCAAATTCCTCAGGTTTCAGGGAATCCCAAAGCTACTATTCCAAATAAAAGGGTTAATTCAGCCTTATTCAGCTTTAGGATAGCTTCTTTTGTATGAATGGTCAAAACTGAATGAATTTTCTATTTGTAGTAGTATTTTCTATTCATGGAAAAGTTAGAAAACAGGTTTCCCTAATCATTTTCTCAAGAGTGGACAAAGGTAAATACATAAAGATCATTTAGCGGCATAAAAATCATGGTACTTTATATTCACAGGTGTCCTCATAACTGAAACGTAACCTCTTCTTTAAAGAATTTTCTCCGTGAAGAAGAGAGAACATGCACTCACCAGAAATAAATACAATGGGAAACTATGAAAAAGTAATCAATCAAAATAAAAATGATGTCTTACCATTGTGAGAGTAAATGGATGGCTCTCTAATGCTGACACTCTTGGACAATGTAGAATAATGTACTGAAATAAATCATCCGGAGAAAAATGAGTAATAGAAAAAAAAAAGATGCGTTCAAAACATTGTTATGGATATTACTACTAAGACTCCAAAGTTGAAAGCTGTCATTTCTATATGCTTGAGGCACCTTACCTGACCTGGCCTTGCTTTAAAGTTGTTTTTCATCATTCGCAATTCAAGGACATTACAGGGATGGCTTATCACAGAAGTTATCGTGACCGGTTTATTACTTCGGATGTAGCGATAGAGCCTTTCTGCACAATACAAGCACAAAGGTCCAGAAATCCACAGCCAGGTCTGAAGGACAACAACAACAACGTTACTCAAGTGATTTCTTCATTTAAAAAGCAACACAATTGATTGTAGGGACTAGCTCTGCCATTTGCACATTGAGTAACATCTGACTATACAAATAACCCCATGTTTCTCTATATGCAGAAATCCATGTGCATAGCAATAGCTAAATCAATCTAACTGCCACACTGCTGACAGGTACAAATGGATTTCAGACATAAGCTTAATCAAAACCAAAGATCACTTCACACTTAGGACCTCATTTGCAAATGTATTATTCCAGTTTCATGTGACTGGAGCTCTACTGGACTTCAACAGATCAACAACGCAAAGAATTAGGCCCTGCTGCTTCAGACAAACCAACCTCCAAAAGACTGTAAGACAAGTTATCTTACCAATAAAAGCACTGCCTGCTACTCTTTTTCAGGAGTGTTGGTTGTAGCCGTGCTGATCTAAGGACATAGGCAGACAAGGTTCTTTGGGTAAATCTGATATCTTTTATTAGACCAACTAAAATAGTTGGAAAAATTATTTGCAAGCTTTCGTGTATAAACACCCTTCTTCAGGCACAAGCATAAGGCATTTCTAAGTCTATCAGCCACTCAATAATGTTAAATGCTACTGAGGAAATACATGTGAAATTTTGTCCAGGTGGCCCCATGTGCATGGGAGCTCCTCCCCTACCTAGAGCTCTACAGTAGGGCTCTGGAAAATTTCACCAGGTGTTTTGTTTTAACGCTGTTTCGATGCGTTTTGAGCTCGAAACAGCGAAATTGAAATGAAACAAAAGCCTTCAAAACGGTTTCAAAACGGCTTCAAAATGAAACAAGGGCACTTAAAATATTTAGAAAGTTTTGAAACGTTTCAAGTTTCGAAGCTGGGCTTACTTGGCTTCAGCACCGGTCCCAGCTGGCAGCAGCAGCAGCCTCCTCTTGTCTGGTGCAAATCTGCCAGATGACAGGAGGCTGGTTTTGCCACCTGGGGTTAGTGGCATCACCAATATTCCTGGTGCTGGGTGCAGACTGCACCCAGCCTCCTGTCATCTGACAGGCAAATCGGGGGACCGCACCCCCAAGAGGAGTCTGGCACAACCCCGCAGCCCTCCCAGGGGTGCGGGTGGGCCCCCAATCTGCCTGCCAGATGACAGGAGGCTGATGCTGTTGGCTGGGACTGGCACTGGGTGCAGCCCGTGCCAAGCACCAGGAAGATTGGTCCTGGCGCTGGCCCCAGCCAGAAGCAACAGCATGATGTCATCCCGCATGCAGATCTGAGGGCCCATACCCCTGGGAGGAGTCTGGCACAGCCCCACAGCCTTCCCAGGGGTGCAGGCCCCTGGATCTGTGGGCCAGATGACAGGAAGCTGCCGCTTCCGGCAAGTACAGCGGTTTTGCTTGTCAACATCTTGAAGTGCAGTGTCCCAGAAACCCCTGCACCTATCTCTTTGAAACTTGGCAGGCATCATGTCCTCAGAACGGGCTACCACCCCTGTGATTTCATCCAAATCAGGCAAGAAATGACAAGGTTTTAAGCATTTTTATTATTCCCCATTATAGCCTATGGGCAAAACATCGAAACAGCATTGAAACAGCAAAATGGTTTCAACGAAATGAAACAGAATAGTGCTTTCAAAATGAAACAAAACTCAAAACAAAACACTGTTCCATCGAAACCTCAAAATGGAAGTCAAAGCGGAACAGTGCTGTGCCACATAGCCCAACTCGACAATACATTATTAACTCAGATCCCAAAGAGGCCATTATTTGATGCCTTGACATATGTATGAAGCAATCACCTGGCAATACAAGTAAAGCAGGAGCATCAAACTCAATTCCATTTGAGTAAAAAATGGCCAATATCATACTGGGATGTATTAATAGGAGAGTCACTTGCAAATCAATAGAAGCAATTCTTTATTTGGCCCTGGTGATGCCTCACCTGGAGTACTGTGTCCATTTTTGGGTACTGTGCTTCAAGAAAACTGAAGGCTGTGGTAGAAGAGTAACCCCAGTTATCTTGGATATCCTTTCCACTGGACACAGGTTTCTCCCCTGCCAAGATCTATGTGGTTGCCAATGCCCAATGGCCTCCTTACATAAAACAAGTCACGCGCAGGCTTCTCCAACTTGACCCAACATCTACCACAATAACCAATCACCAATACCCAAATCTCTACAAAGCCCTGCGGTACTGGACTAGTGGCAACAGAGTCAGATGAAGTAATCACTGGGAGTCCCTAGTCACAGATCCATACATAGGTGACAGTCACAGGCTAATCGCTTCATCCGTGGAATGGGACAAGAGAGTGATTCAGCAGCTGCAATCAAAACTAAGCAGTCCTTTTTAGGATCCCCTTTGCTCACCCAGCAGACTTTCCTCTACACAAAATGTTGTCAAGGATTTTTTGAGCAAGAATGTTAAGGAAGGTGGGAGCATTCCCAAGTTAGACCAATTGTATTCCCACCTACCTGCTCTTTTTGAAGAGGAAAAACAGCACCTTCTTAATGACTTTGAGGGAAACTTCATTGCCATGATTGCCAACAAAACAACCAACTTCCGAAATAGACCAGTTTTCAACATTTTATTTTGGATGCTCAAGGCATGTCCTCCTAGGCATGTTGACATTCCCATACCACAATTGGTAAAAACAGTGTGCCTGGGGAAAGTATCAAGCCACCATTTCACAAGCCTTGATTTCTTGTAGGGTGGAATTCAGCATCCCACTTGAGTGAATAGTAACATTTGTAACAGAGAGTGTGTGCTACATGGCAAAGGCTTTTAACGATGTGCTTTGCAATCTGTGGTCAAACTGTGTGTACATTCATTGCTATGCACATATGGTTGTTCTGGCAGGAAATACTTGGCGAGATACCTTCAAGTGAGTGGATCGTTTTGTTGCTTTGATGAAGTCACTTTAAGTGAAAGCTGCAGCTCGTCGTGCGTGGTTCTTGAGGTACATGAAGGAACAGAGTATTGATTCATTAACACGACCAGCTGAATCAGTTGTGAAGAGGTGGAATACATGGTTCAATTATGTAAAGTACCATGCACAATACTACCAGATCTACCATG